CTAGTCACTTGGTAATTTTCTGACACGTCCCTTCTAATACGCCAATGGAGAAGCTTCGATTGCTTCTTGGCCTTGGATGCATTATAATTTTCATATTATTCCTCTTTTTGATTTATGGAGCTTATTTATGCACTCTTTGTCCTCATTCACCTGCTTGCTGAACCTGCTGGCTTAATCTGCTTGTTTAACCTGCTTGCTTAACCTGCTTGTTTAACCTGCTTGTTTAAACTTGGTACCGCCTGGTGATGCATGCTACTGTTGAGCCATGATACAGCCTCTTTGCATTAACTGTTGAACAATGGCACTATCTCTCGGACAATGGCACTGTTTGTTGAACCATGAAAGCATGAAACTTAGTTCATGGCTTGTGTGAGCCATCCGATAGCTTCTTGAACCTTATAGTGGCTTAGTGAGCCAGCTAGTGGCTTGGTAAACTGTTTATTGTCTCGATGACTCAGCTATAATGGTAATCAGGTAACCTGGCTATAGTGGCTTGGTGAGCCGGCCAGCCAGGTGAGACAGAGCGCAGGTGGTGGTCGATGAGGTTACACCAGCTGGCTGCAGTGACGCCCCGAGCAAGACGCCCCCAATCGAGGCATCAGTCACAGGCGCCCCTCAAATCAGGCCACGTCAGCGTGACGGGACGGGCGCTCACGTTCAGTACACACACACACACAACACAACATCAGTATGGGTTCAGGGATGACAAGTCCTGCCTCATAGGATTAATTGATTAATTGAATTCTTCGACCAGGCAACAAAAATCAGGCAAGAAAGAGAAGGGTGGGCAGACTGCATATTTTTGGATTGCCAGAAAGCCTTTGATACAGTACCACACAAGAGACAAGTGCAAAAGCAGGAGATGCAGGCTGGAGTGAAAGGGAAGGTACTCCATTGGATAAGGGAGTACCTAAGCAACAGAAGACAGGGAGTCACTGTGAGGGGGTGAGGTTTCAGACTGGCGAAGCGTCACCAGTGGAATCCCGCAGGATTCAGTCCTTGGACCTATACTGTTTCTGATATATGTAAATGATCTCCCAGGGGGTATAGAATCGTTCCTCTCATTGTTTGCTGATGATGCAAAATTATGAGGAGGTTTAAGACGGAGGAAGATAGTATGAGGCTAGAAGATGACCTAGACAGATTGAACGAATGGTATAACAAACGATTACTAAAGTTCAACCCGAGTAAATGCAAAGTAATGAAACTAGGCGGTGGAAACAGGAGGCCAGACACGGGATACAGAATAGGAGATGAAGTACTTCATGAAACGGACAGAGAAAGATCTAGGAGTGGATATCACACCAAACCTGTCTCCTGAAGCCCACAAAAAAAGAATAACATCTGCGGCGTATGCAAGGCTGGCTAACACCAGAACTGCCTTCAGGAACCTGTGTAAGAAATCATTCAGAACCTTGTATACCACTTATGTAAGACCAATCTTGCAGTATGCGGCCCCAGCATGAAGCCTGTACCTTGTCAAGCACAAGTCGAAGCTGGAAAAAGTTCAGAGGTATGCCACTAGGCTAGTCACAGAACTAAGAGACATGAGTTACAAGGAAAGGCTGCGTGAAATGCACCTCACGACGCTGGAAGACAGAAGAGCAAGGGGAGACATGATCACTACCTACAAAATTCTCAGAGGTTTTGACAGGGTAGATAAAGACTTTTTAACACCTGGTGGTCCGTGAACAAGGGGACACAGGTTGAAAATGAGTACTCAAATGAGCCGTAGGGACGTTAGAAAGAACTTTTTCAATATCAGAGTACTTAACAGATGGAATGCATTAGGCAGTGATGTCGTGGAGGCTGACTCCATACACAGTTTCAATTGTAGATATGATAGAGCCCAGTAGGCTTAGGAATTTGTACACCAGTTGATTGACAGTTGAGAGGCGGGACCAATGAGCCAGAGCTCAACCCCCACAAACACAACTAGGTGAGTACACACACACATACACACACTCACAGACACAAACACACACACACACGAGAGAAAATTTTATAACGCCCCACTCATTAAACCTTCAACTCCCTCCCTCCATATATCTTTCCTCATTGACTTACGTGATGTTTTCCTGGGCGTTGAGGCGAAGATCTACACAACGTAAACACTCAACACGACGCTAATTATGTAAGTCTCCCGCGAGTGATAATTGCCACCACCTGGCGAGGCTGCGAGGAACTATCGTGCTATCGCGGTGTTAGGTAAGATCTCCGAGCAACTGTGATATAACTCTTCATTGCTTATTCTCTCCTTTGATTTCCATTTATATAAATGCGTAAGAGAGAGGAAACTGCAAAAGACCTACTGACCCACTCATACGAGGCAGCTTCTCTTTATAGGCAGCCAAACTCATTTTATATATATGGGAAATATTTCTTCATTTTCCACTATCCCTTATTTCCTCTTAATGTTCTTTTTTTTTTGTAAACAATCAGATATATAACTGTATAACCTTGTATAATAAAGTGGACCACATAAAAAAGTTGATGAATATATGGGTTTATTCGAGTATGTTTATTGACTCTAAAATACATCTCAAAGGGATAGAGTAGCTTAGGCTATTTCTACTCCCCTCATGGATTTATTACCCTTCGGGTGAAATGGCATCTACTCTTCTATCCTAAATTGTGGTTTATGAAAGTAGAAAGGCTTGACAACGTAGAGAAAACCTCTCTACTCTTAAAAAAAATAGAAAACCTCTATTCTACTCACCTCTATTACCGAGAGGTGAGTAGAATTGATTTTTAGATAACGTTTTATCAAATTTCAAAAAATCCTTACAGACTATAATTAAAGTTTAACTCTCATATTGACATTTTTGTAGAACGTTTCTTATACAGTCTGAACCCGTCTCCACTCCAGTACGCTACATCGCTATGCCCCACTGACGGAGGAAACAGTTGTCCAGCATCCCGGGTAGAGAGTGTGTGTGTGTTGCGTGTGTTTGATTACGTGGCGAGCGTGAGGTATTGTCAGAGATAACGAGGTGATAACACTGCGAGGTAGGCGACGCGAGCGAACAATAGTACTTCTCTCGCTTCCTGTTCGTTGTCCATTGCGACACCTTCGATACCCTCGGGATGTCACGTGAGTCAAGATTTAAAGGGTATTTTTTTATATTTAAATTTTCCTGAAGAGCGACTTCACTGGGCACTGTCACTCATCCCGTGAGTGAACACACCGCCAAAGCCGTATATACATCACCCAGCGGGTTTTCTTCCTATTGGCAGTTGATTTAATTTTGGTTGGTTGCAAATTTCTAGATGGATGCGAAAAAAAATGAGTTTCCAAAGCTTGCACCCAAAGCACTGAGATATTTAATGCCATTCCTCCACTACATATTTATGTGAGCTGGCTTCCTCTCAGCTGTTTCACATAAAACAAAAGTACAGAAACAAGATGAATGTGGAACCTGATCTACGCTTAAAACTGTCAGGCACTGAACCTGAGATTCGGAACATGTCAAGACATGATTCGAACACATGATTCGAGTCAACATCGCAGCATCAACCATCTCATTAAACAAGCAAGTTACATGTCTGTCAATTGAGAGATGAAACTGCGAAAACGAGTTTGTAGTTTGTTATTAAAAATCAGCATATTGACCACTCAATCCTTTCAAAAACTAGGGTCCGTGTGAAAGTTAATTCAAACACAGCAGGTCCTTGGTGGTGAAAAGCTTAAGAACCAGTGATATAACCCATGAAAGGGATATGAGGACAGAATTGCAGTTAAGATACGGGGGACTAAGGGAAGGAACGGTGTCCAACTGCTTGGACCGTCGGGAATCGAACGCCGTCCTGCATAAAGCGAGGTTGTCGTTGTACATGGAATCCGAAGAGGCACTGAAGTCCTCGTGCCAAACACAATCACTCCTATAAAGAGGTGTCCCTACTAGCGAGGCATAAATAATGATAACAGTGTCATTATTAATCAACATATTTGCTAATCTGTGTGTTTTGAGAGGTGGAGAAACTGAGTATGTGGCCGCTGCAACCTCCGGTGTGAAGCACGCGAATCAAATATTCTGTTTAATCAGATAAGCGTTATCAAAAGACCGTTGTTTAAGATTAGCACACAGCTACAGCGTTACCAACATTCTCTGATTAAAATATTATTTCATTATTGTTTCTTGAGAATGAGAAAGTCATAGTCATGTTAATGTCATGTGTAAGGTTTATAAGACCTTGTCACACTTTCCTTTCGCTTCATGCAGGTCGGCGTTCGATCCCCGACCGTCCAAGTGGTTGGGCACCATTCACCCCCCCCCCCGTCCCATCCCTTATCCTGATCGATTGATAATCAGGTACTTCCAGTACCTATTTACTGCTGGACCAATTGAGGCACCTACGATAAGGCAACTGTGTCCCAACATCTATCCTACCATGGGAATCGAACCCTGGACCTTTAGGTTGTGAATCGACTGCGCTGACCACCTACACAAGGTGAGACAAACCCAAGACGACTTTAAGACTTACTTGACCCCTTGCAGGTGATCCGAGCACCGCTCCTGTGCCAGGTAAGTCCACTACGGGCTCACCATAGCCCGTGCTACTTGCCCCGCTCCTGTGCCAGGTAAGTCCACTACGGACTCACCATAGCCCGTGCTACTTGCCAAGCTCCTGTGCCCCGTAAGTCCACCACGGACTCACCATAGCCCGTGCTACTTGCCCCGCTCCTGTGCCAGGTAAGTCCACTACGGACTCACCATAGCCCGTGCTACTTGCCCCGCTCCTGTGCCAGGTAAGTTACGGGCTCACCATAGCCCGTGCTACTTGCCAAGCTCCTGTGCCCCGTAAGTCCACCACGGACTCACGATAGCCCGTGCTACTTGCCCCGCTCCTGTGCCAGGTAAGTTACGGACTCACCATAGCCCGTGCTACTTGCCCCGCTCCTGTGCCAGGTAAGTTACGGGCTCACCATAGCCCGTGCGACTTGGAACTTGTTCCGAGTAACTGAATCTATAACAACAACAACAACAACAACCTTGCAGGTGTGAGCTGGAGAATGGAGGAAAGTAATAAGGTCGACGGTGCAGGTGTGGAGAACGGCGGTGCTGTGGGGGCCAGGCGGCGCCGGGCGTCTCCTCCCACCTACCGCTTGTACAAGCAGCGATGGGCCGTCCTCGTCACCGTCACCATTCTCAACATCTCCAACGCCTCCGTGAGTTACATTAGTAGTAGGCATCCGTCAGTCTCAGGAGACTATGGAGATGCGCCCTGGTTGTTGGTCTGGAGTGACCTCACCAGCGCGCAAAGCCTGGGTAGGTTGCAGGCGATGAGTCACAATAACGTGGCTGAAGTATGTTGACCAGACCACACACACTAGAAGTTGAAGGGACGACGACGACGTTTCGGTCCGTCCTGGACCATTCTCAAGTCGATTGTGTAGTCCATATCAACCTGGGTAGGTTTGTAACAAACTAGGCTGGTTGTAAGAATTATCCAGAGTGGTTTATCGACAAAAGAGAATGGGAAGCTGAGCCTGCGTGGTGACCCGGGACCTGACCCCAGGGGAATTCGCGGTGAAAATAATCGACGCCTTGTTCATAGCTGCGTATAATGAATCATCCTATAGTATTCAGTAAGTTAGAGAAATTAGCCTTTATTCATTTTGTATTAAAATTGTATTGTATAATATTACTGGGTACAATATCAAGAGTATTCTAATTATTGAGTTAAGTCACCATCAGTGACATCACGAATCAGATCTAAGTTGTAAGGCGGAGTGACCTGGCGGTCATAGGTCATCAGTGTTGACATGTCTACTATTTCTCAAAGTTTTAATAACCATTTTGGGGAACGGGAACAGCTCTGCCGTTAGATGCTTGTGTAATTTAATTTCAGTAAAATAATTCAACCAGTCTGGATCAATTCAGTACAAACAGAGGTTAATTGTTATAACTTAAACCTGGCTAAGTAACTGGGTAAGCGATGCGGAACAATACAATGCTCTAGTCTGGGGTAGACCAGACGAGGAGAGATCAGTGTGGAGTCCAGATCAACTGGGGTAGGTCAACCATCTTACCTCTCCCCCAAGACCAGCCCCCAACATCTTTAGCTGGTCAAACATAGAGGTATAGTTGCTATTGTTATTTGTAGGGATAGTCAACTCATTGCCGTCAGGTCAAGTAGGGAGTGTTAAAGTGACAGGGAGTGAACATATTTAGATTTTGTTTTAGTTTCTTTTAATAAATTAATTAGTTAATATTTTGCAATTTTATTGTTTCCATTTGTTTATGTTTACTTGTCCTGGTCACGTGGTCCACACGAGGCAGAGTTGGATTGGGCGCCGATTCTAACACCAAATCGGAAGTCATCTTTACCGTGTAATTTATTCCACACTCAAGGTCATCGGTTATAGTGGGGATCAAGCCCCAAGGTTGATTAATTAGCATGATCGATCCAGACCTCGATCATTGCTCTGTGTTACTGGTCTGGTGGTGGCGGCGGAGGCGACTCTAGGGTTTTGCTCGAAGCTTAGGTCACGTCATACTGGTTGTAGAATCCTAAGTCGGTCAATCGTCTTAGGACCACGTGGCGTGAAGTCGGCTTTAGTAAAAGTTTTGGAGTCCCTTGTAGAGTATAAAAAGTAAGAATACGGGTAGAGGGAAAAGAAGAAGGAAAGATAAGTAGAGAAACCCTCCCCGTGTTACAGGTTGATACGGAGGAGAAGCGTTACATTAGCGTTTTGATATTATGTACATTCGCATTTATATTAATTAAGGTTTATTCGAATTTATATGGACTTTCTCGGCTATATGATTGGCTAGGGTTAGTGTGAGGAGTTATCTTGAGGTTATCTTGAGATGATTTTGGGGGCTTAGCGTCCCCGCGGCCCGGACCTCGATCAGGCCTCCTTTTTGTCACACACCCCCAGGAAGCAGCCCGTAGCAGCTGTCTAACTCCCTGGTACCTATTTACTGTTAGGTGAACAGGGAAATTAGGGTGAAAGAAACTGTGCCCATTTGTTTCCGCCTCCGGCGGGGATCCAACCCGGGACCTTAGGACTACGAATCCCGAGCGATGCTCACGTCAGGCCCCCGTCAGCTACCAGCTGTGTGACATCCCCATCTATCTTTATCAATCAATCTTGCACACATTTACGGGGACGACATCTCCCGACACGCAGGGTGCAGTCGCACCTCCACAGATCTCCAGTATCAGCTATTGATACTGGTAATGGCTCGAAAGGGCCACCACTTACGGGCTATTCATGCCCGTGCCACCTTTTGGGTGGCTTAATCTTCATCAATCATCTTCATCATCCCCATCTTGCAAGATGGTTTGTTATACAGGATATCAGCAAGAAAACGAAAATGCGTACATGAATTATACAATTTTTTTTTTTTTTTAGGGAGGTGGGTGGTGTGCTAGTCAATATACAAATGTTTTGTGCGGCTACTGATCGGATTAATGGTTTCACGAACGAGACCCCCCCAGGCCACAACAAGCCTAGTGACGCAACAGGTTATATACTGTTTTAGAACTAAATACAAAAATCATCCCTCAGTAGGTCAATATTGTAAATAAAATAAATAATATTCGAGTCCTTTTTCAGTTCGAGTGCTGGGTGATGGTCACCACGCGACAAGCCTGGCACTAGGTCGGGTTTGGGGGCAGCTGTAGAACTCTTGAAACAGTGTCCAGGTAAACTCCAGGCCAGGACAGGTCTTGTGTAACGACGTGAGGATCCCAGTCCGATGTTGTATAGAAACTACTTCCTCTGTTAGATCCCCTAAGTCACACAAACATTATAATTCATTAAATTTATATAATAAGTTATTTGTGATGGTGTAATACAACGTCAACAGGAAGCATTGCAGCAGTCACTGAAGTTGTACAGAAACAACACTTGCGCCCAGACTATCAGTGTCAGGTTAAACAGCTAGCTGAACTCTTCACTAGCAGAACTAGTAGCCCGACAATTAGCTACAGGTAATTTAAAAGACAGCAATAGGAGTAAGTTTCTGTTTAACCATTCATGTAGTTTACGGATCCCACGTAAATGCTTTTTTTGGTCTTATTATATTAAGAAAAATGTAATCAACACCCCATTTAGTATTATATATACCCTAGCTACTATTGTGCCCATGTGGGCATGGATAGTAGCCGGGTGATGGTGCATTGTTTACTCCTGTTAACACCGCGACCATCTGGTTAAAAATTGTGGCCAGAGACGGTATGTACCTCGTGGCCCTCCCTCATATCCTGTGTCCTCTCACCAGCTGTGGATCAACCTGGCGCCGGTGGCGACCAAGGCAGCAGAGTACTACAAGATGGATGTGGAGGCCATCAACTGGTTCAGCTTGGTGTACCTCTACGCCTCCATCCCCTTCTGCTTCATCTCCACCTTCAGCGTCAATGCCCTCGGCCTCAGAGCCGCCGTGAGTAGATCACCAGCCAGAGGAGAGATGGCAGATTTAACAATTCAATATGATAGGTGGTACAGAGAGCCTCTTGAAGCTCAGGTAACACCTTGAGTAGACCAGCACAGGAGGAAATAATGGGGGGTTTGGAAGAGGCGATGGTATAGGGAGGCTGGGAAGGTGCTCGGTGTTGATGCTGAGTTGTTGTTGTTGTTAAAGATTCGCTACCTGGAACACAAATTTCCAAGTAACACGGGCTATGGTGAGCCCGTAGATAGTTATTTAATGATGCTGAGGCTGAGGGACAACGCTCACTGGGGCTGTTTACCTTTGAGGATCCCATGGTAGCGGACAGTTATCTCGATGCGTAAGATACTCTATTAGTGGTTCCCAACCGGTGGAACCGGAAATGTTTGCTGATGGTCCGGTAACCTAAATTCTGAGTACTGGTATATCTGAATCATCGAGAATTAGCAAATGGTATTATTATGAACTTAGTGTCCGCACAGCTTCCCAGATTGCTCTACCAGCCTTCCTTTCCTCCTCCCATGCATCGTACGACCTCGTAAGATTCCTATCAGAACCCCTGAGTGATTTAGTAGGGATACACGATCCTGCTTTCATTGAATTTTCAAATCAGTGGGAAGCTCTTGCAACCCCAGCCCCCATTATCACTCAAACAAAAAAAAAACACAAATAGTCCAGCTGGGACCACCCACTAGTGGAAAAAATGGTTGATGTCATACTCAGCGCCTCAACATCAGATGAGGACAAAGCCCACCTCAGAGCAGTGCATGTACCCCCATGCAAGGAACTTCCTTCTGGCAGTACCCATGTCGGCAACAGGCACGCGTTTAGATCCAGAATCCTTCTTGTAGTAGTGGCCCTCCGCCTTGGTGCCCCAATTCACACTGAGTACAAGTGTATTTGCAACAGGGTGGAAGCAGACCAATATGGACTGCAGGGGTTGCATTGCGGAAGCTCCAAGGGCTGCCATGCAAGACACAACAAGGTTAATGACATCATCAAGCGGAAAACAGATCCACAAGGGCCGTGACGAGGATTCGAACCTACGTCCGGGAGCATCCCAGACGCTGCCTTAATCGACTGAGCTACGACATGGTTAAAAAAAGAGTTGAAACCGAAGTCCTACTGAACTTACTGGATCCTGCAGCCTCTCCGAGGCACAAACCAGGGTTTTATACATCTCCCCCCATGCACTCGAGCTGTGTTAATAATAGGCCGTTCTCCCTCTTCGCCCTTACTTCATTACACACAGAAATCACAATGGCGTGATGCATCAAATGAACAAATCCACAAGGGTCCTGACGAGGATTCGAATCTACTACCGGGAGCATCCCAGACGCTGCCTTAATCGACTGAGCTACGACATGGTCAAAAGAGTTGAAACCGAAGTTCAACTGAACTACCCTGGTTTGTGCCTCGGAGAGGCTGCAGGATCCAGTAAGTTCAGTAGAATTTAGGTTCAACTCTTTTGACCATGTCGTAGCTCAGTCGATTAAGGCAGCGTCTGGGATGCTCCCGGACGTTGGTTCGAATCCTCGTCACGGCCCTTGTGGATTTGTTCATTTGATGCATCACGCCATTTGAGCATTGCCTTTCTGAGGCAAGGCTCAAGCGGAGCCTTGCCTCAGCTCAGTGCCCAGTGGAGAGGAAACCTCGCATCCTAGGGGGACCAAAACCTGGATGACCCCACACTTCGCCCAGATGGCATTACAATATACCCCTGGAGGAGAGGTTAACAGCTGGTGTGGGACTACACATGTGTATCCACCCTGGCTGACACCTACATACACTTCGGTGCAGATCAAGCAGGTCAGGCAGCCAAGCAGAGAGAAATAGCAAAATCGGTCAAATACAGGCGATTGGAAGATCAATACACATTTGTTCCCATAGTGTCTGAGATACTCGGACCCTGAGAAAGGGATGCATTGGGATTGACACACATTGTATTAACCAATATATATCTTGTAACCTTTAAATATCTAATAAAGCATAATAAAACACAAAAGGAAAAGGGTAGTAGGAGAAAAGAACACAGAAACTATATTGGAGGGGGGACCTAAAAATCTCCTTTAATGCGTTATGTGTACTTTCCTCCGAGGCTAAGTGTCCCCTTCTTCCAGCCACAAGGGTTAATAATAATAAATATTATTATTATTATTATTATTATTATTATTATTATTGATACGACAGTACTTAAGGGAATTTTTGTCTTAATCATTCCTTCGTGGTCTGACTGTCATATTATATATATATATATATATATATATATATATATATATATATATATATATATATCATTTTATATATATATGATATATATATATATATCATATATACCTCATATATATATATATATATATATATATATATATATATATATTTTTTTGTGGGGGGGGGGATGGGGATTGAAAAGGGAATTGTACAACAATGCATATTTTGTACTTTCCATCCATAGTAACTATAGGCAATATAATTTTTGGAAGTTGAATTAAATGTTTAGACGATCAGACTGTAATGAAATATACTATTTTAGAGAGAGAGAGAGAGAGAGAGAGAGAGAGAGAGAGAGAGAGAGAGAGAGAGAGAGAGAGAGAGAGAGAGAGAGAGAGAGAGAGAGAGAGAGAGAGAGAGAATGAATATTTAGAAGTATGTTCTCCCGGCAGATTCACATAGGATCAGCGATGAACTGCTTGGGAGGCGTGATCCGGGCGGTGTCCACCTCGGGTCTCATCACCCCCCTCCACGCCCAGTACGCCGTCGGCCTCACGGGCCAGGTACGTCACGCTCACTAATATATTATGAGGGATAATAGGGGGGTGGTAATAATAGATAATGACTAGGTTTGTATCGAGACCTTAGCTGTGGCTTACTGAAGTGCCTCCACCCACCACAGACCATCGCCGGCATGGCCCAATCGTGGTAATAATGAGGGGGTGGTAATAATAGATAATGACTAGGTTTGTATCGAGACCTTAGCTGTGGCTTACTGAAGTGCCTCCACCCACCACAGACCATCGCCGGCATGGCCCAATCGTTCCTGCTGTTCATCCCCACCAAGGTGTCGCAGCTGTGGTTCCCGGAGCACGCCAGGGTCGTCTCCACCACCATCCTCGCCCTCTGTTAGTATTTTTTATACTGTTAACCATATACTATTCCCTTCATGGTAAACATTTACATACGCAAAAAGTCTTGATATTATATTAGCAATTCCATTTCTTAGGGAAGGGGGGGACTGGAAGCCTGTGTGTATGTATCGTATATAGGCTTGTATCGAGGGTATTACTGAACCTTCATAGGGTGCAACCCTACAACAGTTGCCCAACTTCTGGGTACCTATTTACTGCTAGGTGAACGGAGGCATTAGGTGAAAGGAAACATACTCAATCATTTCTGTCCCGTCAAGGAATCGAACCCGGAATCGCCGATTTTTGAGTCGAGAACGAAGACTGGACGCTATGGGGGAACTCACTGCAGACTCCTGTCCTTGACTGAAGCCTGGACAGGAGGGGTGGACATTGGTAGATGTCTTTAAAGATGTAGATGTAGTAACATTGGGCTCTAGGTTACCTAAGAACTAAAGACTAAGACGTAGGGTGTGAATGACAGCATGTTGTTGTTGTTATAGATTAAGCTACTCGGAACAAGTTCCAAGTAGCACGGGCTATGGTGAGCCCGTAACTTACCTGGCACAGGAGCGGGGCAAGTAGCATGGGCTATGGTGAGCCCGTAGTGAACATACCCGGCACAGGAGCGGAGAATGACAACAATTCAGATTCATTTATTTACTATGCACCCCATACCCATCCCATGGGCGGTGCTGCCTCACTCCGTTTTAGACAGATGAAGAACAAATACACACACCCATACAACATATTTGTTCTACAAAATTGTTCAAGATCGTTGTTCAAAACTTGAAGCATACAAGTTTTGAACAGTCATACTTCGCAGCCTTCCAACATTCTTCCATTTACCCAACATAAACATAGTATTGCCCAAATAATAATAATAATAATAATAATTATTATTATTATTATTATTATTATTATTATTATTATAACTCCCTCTTGGTTCTCTCGCACCTATTTCTGGCCGTTCAATCCCCGACCGTCCAAGCGGTTGGGCACCAGTCCTTTCCCTCCGTACTATCCTAAATCCTTATCCTCCATGTGCTACTTAGTCGCTAATTACTTTATCTTACACCATTCTTTACGGGCTATTCATGCCCGTGCCATCTTTTGGGTAGCTTAATCTTTATCAATCATCAATCTATCTTACACCCACTCCTCATCCACAGCCAACCCGCTGGGAATCATGGTGGCCCAGATCTCGTCGCCTCTGATAGTGCAGGCCACTTCGCTGGCCTTCCTCAACTACGTCTTCGGCGGTGTGGCCTTACTTGCGCAGCTCTTCACCCTCGTCTGCATCACCAGGTGGGGTCAGGGTGGGTCAGGGTGGGTCAGAGAGGGTCTTTCAGGGAGGGGAGAACGAGAGGCAGTCAAATGAAATCTTAGTTCATTGCAATTTACCTGAAACAAAATTCTTGCTCCACTCAGTCATGACCCATGTCTTTCGCCCCCCACAGGTCAAAGCTAACCCAGGATAACGCTGCTCCTCCCACAGGTCAAAGTTAACCCAGGGTGACGCTGCTCCTCCCACAGGTCAAAGCTAACTCAGGGTGACGCTGCTCCTCCCACAGGTCAAAGCTAATCTATGGTCTTCCCCCGACAGGTCAAAGCCGCCAACGTCCCCCAGCCAGAGCGCTGAGCGCGGAGACAAGGCTCGGGCGCCGTACCTGCAGCAGCTGAAGGAGACCTTCACCTGCGGGCCGTATATTCTGCTCCTGCTGGCCATGGGGTGTGGCGTGGGGATCTTCAACTGCCTCGCTACCGTCACTCAGCAGTTCCTCTGTCCCCTGGGATACGATGACGTGAGTAGCCGGCCAGCCTCTCTTCTCTCCCGCTTAAGTAAGTTCATTGAGACAATAAGATACATCTCAAAAGGATAGAGTAGCTGAAGCTCATTTCAACCCTCCTCTCTTCTCTCCCGTATCTACTTAAATAGTGTACTCAAGACGCACTCAAAAACTATGTTTATCTTTTTACGTGAAGCTCATTCACTTTATTTTTTACTTAATCTTTTATTTTCCACTTTAAATTATAGAGCCGCTGTCTACAGAGACTAGATTTGGACATAATTGGTTTTGTAAACTTCGTGTAAGACGATTTAATTATCGTATTTGAGGAGAGGAAGCCTATACTTAGGTTTTTGGAAGTCTCTCTAAGCCGGCTACTGACCTTTCCTTAGGGTGCAACCCTCAACCCTCAATGGATATCCCAAGTCGATTGACTGACGTAATCTTGCATGTTTCCTTGGGGCCGAGGCTAGGCTGGCCGCCCACCCGCCCTAACCCTATCATGCCCCTTCTCATCCTGTTCTGTTTTCTACCCCTCCGGTGCACTGCCTCCTCGCCCTCGGTGCTGCTGGCGCAGGTGTTCAGCGGGATGAGTAACGGCGTGATGATCCTCTCAGGCTTCGTGGGGTCGGCCATCACAGGAATCTTGGCTGACAGGACGAAAGCCTTTGCTCCTATCACCCTCATTGGCTACGGCTTCGCCTCTATCTCTGCTATCGTCATGATGGAGGTGAGAGAGAGAGAGAGAGAGAGAGAGAGAGAGAGAGAGAGAGAGAGAGAGAGAGAGAGAGAGAGAGAGAGAGAGAGAGAGAGAGAGAGAGAGAGAGAGAGAGACAGAGAGAGAGAGAGAGAGAGAGAGAGAGAGAGAGAGAGAGAGAGAGAGAGAGAGAGAGAGAGAGAGAGAGAGAGAGAGAGAGAGAGAGAGAGAGAGAGAGAGAGAGAGAGAGAGAGAGAGAGAGAGAGAGAGAGAGAGAGAGAGAGAGAGAGAGAGAGAGAGAGAGAGAGAGAGAGAGAGAGAGAGAGAGAGAGAGAGAGAGAGAGAGAGAGAGAGAGAGAGAGAGAGAGAGAGAGAGAGAGAGAGAGAGAGAGAGAGAGAGAGAGAGAGAGAGAGCGAGAGATAAGCTGAAACCTGTGTAATAATTAATTAATCTATTCGGCTCCATTCTTCCCACAAAGAAGTCAAAAATATATTCTCATCACATGACGGGACGTAACGAAAGTCCTACAAGTTAATGGAGAAACTCTAGAATTCCCAGGTACCGATAGTACCTTTATCGTTACCTGGAAATTACTGACGACTCTAGCAAGGAAATGAAAGAGGAGTTTGATCATCTTCAAGGAACATGACTGAGTCGCCTTCCTCCTAAACTATGCCGTAAATAGGACCAGTCTTATGCACGCACTCCTCCAGCGACATGAAAAGGCTGGAGATCATGGAAAAGGAATCCGTGGCAATAATTCTTGGAGTCGCCAAAAAACTTCCTAAATAATCCTGTCAACGACAAGAACGTATGTCTGCCCAGATTAAAAATAGGATTCAGGAATTGAAGGTTAAGCTTGTTAAGCTTAAGAGTGCCAGAGACTCTTACTAACATGTATTCGGTAATGATATTATAATTACAGGAGGAAAGAGAAATAACACAAAATGGCAAGATCGATTAGTTTGCTATCTTGAAGATCTCCGCCTGCTTGAGCAAGCCCACAAACTTGTGCTTATTGGGTTGTCACCTCCCTGTGAGTCAGAACCGTTGAAGATTATAATAAATGAGATGATAGCGAAGAAGTTAAATAAGTTTCCACAAAAATTTAGATATATTTCTTCTCCGAGGCAATGGGTTCCTTCACTTGCACAAGTGGTGGAACCCCTTTTAGGTTTTATATATATATATATAATCTTGAGGAAATTAATAAAGAGGCTTTAAGCGAATTATATTAAATCTACATTGCCAATTCTACGGTACTGGCAAGACTGATGCACGATAATTAGGACACATGTCTTACACACGGAAGTGAAGGAAAAACACGGGTTGAGAACCATGCTTTCTCGGTGCAGGCAGAGCTAACTGCCATTGTTAAGACATTAACAATGGCAGATAGTTGACAGTAGCAACAAGTTGAATGCAGAATCTTGTCTATATACAACCAGCACCTTTGCTCGTTCCTTTCTACCGATATCAATACAAGGAATTCAACTGGAAATGAATCATCCTTTACTAATTAGTTAAGCATTTTGACAACTCTATTGATATCAGTGACTGTATAACTGTCTTCTGCAGATCACTGCTCTCTTTTTTTACATGACAATAGAAGAGTTCCAGCTACGTCTTGGTACAAGGGACAGGATGAACAACCCAGGCCGTCGGGAGTTTCCCCTTCAGCAGAACTCGACTACCTGTGAGGAATTACCACAATGCCATTTTTCGTAAATGCTTACACAGAGAAAATTTTAACAAAAAGCAAAATACCGGAGCCAAAGGGAGAGGCTGGTGGAAGAAAGAGGGTATAGAGGAAGGGATGAGGAAAAGGAGTAGGGAAGAAAGCATGTGATAGTTGCGTGGGTGGACACCACACTATTATCTAAGGTAAATAGAATGGTGACAGCACGGAGGAGAAGCAGCAGAAGGGGCTTAACAGTGCTCCCGGCGGGGCGAGAGGGTCGGGTTGCTGCCACACGCCGCCCTCTAGGGCCGCTACAATGTAATATTGATACTCAGCCGTATGTCTTTGGGCCAACAGGCATCAGAAAGTATTTTTCTTGCGTCGTACTACTAATGTGGCTGTCCCATCACTAGTGCATGGCTATCTCGTCACCAGTGTGGCTGTCCCATCACTAGTGCGTGGCTATCTCGTCACCAGTGTGGCTGTCCCATCACTAGTGCATGGCTATCTCGTCACCAGTGTGGCTGTCCCATCACTAGTGTGTGGCTATCTCGTCACCAGTGTGGCTGTCCCATCACTAGTGCATGGCTATCTCGTCACTAGTGTGGCTGTCCCATCACTAGTGCGCGGCTATCTCGTCACCAGTGTGGCTGTCCCATCACTAGTGCGTGGCTATCTCGTCACTAGTGTGGCTGTCCCATCACTAGTGCATGGCTATCTCGTCACTAGTGTGGTTATCCTCCTTAGGGTATTAGTTTTTAGTTAAGATACCCAAGTATCTGTCCGAGGTTATTTATAAACGTTCCGTTCGACAGCTGTTCATGGTGCCCGGCCAGCCCGTCCTTGTGGCCCTCTTCATGGGTCTCTTTGGGTTCTTCGGGGTGGGAGCGTACCCTATAGGTCTGGAGCTGTCGGTGGAGACCACCTTCCCCGTGGAGGAGTCCATCAGCACCGCCTTCATCTTCATGTCTGGTGAGAATACTCTCCTCTATTCATACCCGGGGACAACCCAGTCACCCCGCACCGTCCAGTGTCTTCCTCTTAGGCACGGTACTCTTTCTGTTTTTTTTTCCTCTTGTTCTACTCACAAAGCACTACGAAACCCCCTTTACTTTATCCGTCAACTCTAACCATCCTCTTCCCTGTCCTTCTCTTCAAAGACAAGTGTCATGTTCTCGATAAAAGCACTTATAATCATATTTATAATAGGATATTTTATAGAAAAGAACCCCAAAGCCTACACACTGTTGTTAAGAACTTTATTTTCACTTAATCCAAGAGTAATGGGGGAGTGGTGGCTCTAACCGGTACTAGTGTGGACAGGCATGTTCTAGCATCACTCAACAGAGCCCAGGAGCTATTGTCCAGTTTAACAAACGAGAAGGAATGCCTCTCTGAAATTGATATCACCGAGATGCAGCATCATCCTCTGACTCTTCACAGTAACTTGCGTCACATCTTGGGGCTCGCTTTGTCTTATATTATCCACCACAACACTGCTGCCTTGATCATACACACAAAGTGTGAGTCTGCAGCCTCACACACTTCTCACACTGCCTCTCCAAGTTTTTATGAACACTCAAATCTCTCCAAAATTTGTTAACACCCCCCTCCATTAGTTTTGCTTGCAATATGCATGTTATTAAACCAGACGCAGAGTCACAATAACGTGGCTGAAGTAGTTTGACCAAACCACACACTAGAAGGTGAAGGGACGACGACGTTTCGGTCCGTCCTGGACCATTCTCAAGTCGATTGTGACTTGAGAATGGTCCAGGACGGACCGAAACGTCGTCGTCCCTTCACCTTCTAGTATGTGGTCTGGTCAACTTGTTAAACCAGGTTCCGTAAGAAAGGGGAGTCATATGACTGTGTTGCTTCAGGACAAGTACAAGGCGTGATCATCATTGCCATGGTGACCCTCCTCGCCCGGGACCCCAAGTCGGTGTACGAGGACATTGAGGTCTGTACCCATGGTCCAGACTCCAACATCTTGCCCAAGGACTACACAGGTGAGATGCTTTTTCTTCCTTGTTCGTAACAGTTGATATGATAAATTATTATTTTTAGAAAACTTGTCATTGAATCTGGCTTTAATTAAAATTAAAAGTAGACCTACAGCTAACATGAAATGACTTATACATACTGAAGCAGATCCGGTTAGCCTGATGCGAAAAATCTGTTTCTTATCATGGTCTTTACCCAATGAGTAAGAGTTTTTTTTCTTAGTCTATTTAATGAATCTAAGCCATCGAGTGTCTCCCACCAGTGTCGCTAATGGCGATGATGGCGATGCTGGCGATCATAGTGAGTATCACTATCACCTTCTTGCGCACTCCATACAAGAGACTCGAAGCTGAGCAGGCCTCCAGCAGCCTCAACTCCTCCAACTCGTCCTCCAGCCACTCCCTCACCGCCACCCCCAGCTACACTTCGGAGAACGTCAACGGCGTGGACACCTCCACCAAGCGGTCGATGATCACCGAGACCCCGTGGCCGGACGAAGAAGAGAAATCTGAAATAGTGCAGAGCCACCTATAGATATCCCCCCAACCCTCTACCTTCCTCCCCGCAGCTTACTGTCACGACGGGGTCGAGCCGGAAATTGACACAGATCTTGCGGAGTGTGAGCAATAACATATTTTGCCTGACCTTCTGCTCGATTAGTGTGTAGAAACTATTCTCAGTCACTAATGACAGGAAGGTTAACTCTGCCTTCTGGGTCACTTGCTGACCTCTGACCAGGAAGGGGACGCCCCAGAGGCAGCCGCGCCTGGAGTCAAGCTCACAAGGTAAAATACTGAGCGAGGGGAAACGAGGAAATGTTGAGACAAAACAGAGACTAGTTCACTGCCCACAAATATGGTACAAAAAACCAAAACAAAGATACTTTACGAATATTAATGTTAGTTAATTTTGTCAAATTTCTTTTGTCAACCGAACTTCCTATTTTGGTGTTAGTTGGGAAAGTAAGAGAGGACATGGAAAATAAGAGGAAAATGTGATCCGTTACTTTTTGTTAATAGGTTGCATTTGTAAAGTTGGTTACGATAACGTAAAAAACTCGACCTATTAGTGGAAAGGACGGGTTAATGATTATCAGCCACGTTATTGTGGCTTGTTCTCTACATTCCAAAGAACTTAATTAATACATTTCACTGCATGAAGCAGACGAACTAACAGAAAGATTTTTTACGCTGCTGCATTTGTTAGAGTGTTGGAAGCCCTTCTCATTGTGTATGTGAGCCTCATTTTAATTATTTATTATGCACCCCATACCCATCCCATGGGCGGTGGTGGAAAGGGTTACAGAGGCACATAATGGGTTCAGGAACGGAACCTCATGGTTCGTTTAGCTATGCAAGTGACAATCTCTTGAAGCCAGTAGCATAATTGTTAATATTACAGACACATTTACATATATACTACACATACACAAGTGCATATATATACTACATGTACACACATACATATACATATCAATAATCTTTTTATATCACAAGTGATTCAACAAGAGGCTCACAACAGTCACTATACAAGGCACTTTACATCTATGGTGAGTCACACAATCTTGCTCCACACCCACCCAACTGGGCGGCAGTTTTACAGTCATGCATGCTACTGCATGACTGTAAAACGGTAAGCAAATTTTGGATACTTCGCTAAGATACCTGAAAGTACATCATTATGAATGGAGTACTTACACATTTCTTGGACTCCATTGATGGTATCTCTGAATTCCGTGATTTTTTTACATTCCAGCATATAATGATGCAAAGTATGCGAATAGTTCTGCTGACAGAGTTTACATTTAGTCAAATCTACATCAGCAGATGTTACAAACTCCCAGAGGTACTTGTAGCCGAGCCTACGCCTAGCAGGGGGCCTCCAACACGAAGGCAACATGTTACAGTAAGAAAATATTCAGAACTTACCATTTCAACAGATTGTGTAACAATTGTACTCTGATCAAGACAATAATATGATTGATTTATACGTGTGTCTGTTTAATTTGACCTTTTAATAATAAGGTAAATCAAGAGTTGAGCTTCATGCAGACTAAAGACAAAAATATAAATAATATATATATATAAATATATATTATTTACATGTGCAGTATATACATAACTGTGGTTGGCCAGTTACATTAATTTATTATTAACATCTTTATTGACAACAATTAATTACAATTTTGCCTAAACTGAGGAATTCATTAGGTCTTACTAGAGTGAGGATAATGCTGGTATTCACTGTCACACAAGACAGTGAATACCAGACAGGGTCATACACAAGATCATGATCACAAGGTCATACACAAGATCATGATCACAAGGTCATACACAAGATCATGATCACAAGGTCATACACAAGATCAGGGTCATACATGTATGACAGGGTCATACACAAGATCATGATCACAAGGTCATACACAAGATCAGGGTCATACATGTATGACAGGGTCATACACAAGATCATGATCACAAGGTCATACACAAGATCATGATCACAAGGTCATACACAAGATCATGATCACAAGGTCATACACAAGATCATGATCACAATGTCATACACAAGATCATGATCACAAGGTCATACACAAGATCATGATCACAAGGTCATACACAAGATCATGATCACAAGGTCATACACAAGATCATGATCACAAGGTCATACACAAGATCATGATCACAAGGTCATACACAAGATCATGATCACAAGGTCATACACAAGATCATGATCACAAGGTCATACACAAGATCATGATCACAAGGTCATACACAAGATCATGATCACAAGGTCATACACAAGATCATGATCACAAGGTCATACACAAGATCATGATCACAAGGTCATACACAAGATCATGATCACAAGGTCATACACAAGATCATGATCACAAGGTCATACACAAGATCATGATCACAAGGTCATACACAAGATCAGGGTCATACATGTATGACAGGGTCATACACAAGACAATAGGTCTAAACTGTAGGCTGAAGCACAAATATATCATGATTACAATCAATGCTACTGATCAATTCTCCACTCCCATCCACTCAGTCACACTGCGGACAGCTGCTGAGTGTTTACAGTCATTTGAAGGCACTTTACCTTCATTAAGCAAATTTTGGATATTTGACTAAGATTTCTTACACATTTCTTGTTAATTCGTAATAAAGTTGTCTATGAATTCAGCGGTTTCTTCATATTCAATTGCATAGTTACGCATGTGAATAGTTGTGTTTATAGGGTTCACATTCACATACAGCGATCAGATCTAGTTCAACAAGTCGTAGCAAACTATCGAGTCTAAGCCCGAAATATTGGAAATACAATTCTTTAAGAGTAAACAGAACACATTCCTGAGGGCTGAGGGGCGAGTCAGCACAAACAGGATATATTCCTGAGGGGCGAGTCAGCATAAACAGAACACATTCCTGAGGGCTGAGGGGCGATTCAGCACAAACAGGACATATTCCTGAGGACTGAGGGGCGAGTCAGCACAAACAAGACATATTCCTGAGGGGCGAGTCAGCATAAACAACGCTACGCAGCGGTGACAGACCAGACACGTTTGTGGATTAGCACCGCTGATGGACGATTTCCTTTTATGGGGAGATTAACGAGGCGTGTTCGGAGGCCACAAGAGCATGGGGGGTGAGGGTGTAGGAGGATGGGGAGGGGGGGGGGGTGAGGGTGGAGAGAAGAAAGAGTGTGAAGGAATAGCGACCTGGAGGAGAGAGTGGGGGAGGGGGATAGTGGGGCTCAAGTGAGTGGGGGTACAAACAGCAGCAGAAGGCGTCGTCTGTCAGCTAACCCTCGACCCCTGTCACCCCCTGATCCCAAGGGGTCACTCTTCCCTGTGACTCCTTCCTCCTCCGGGGGTCACCATTCACTATACCACTCCTTCCTCCTCCTCCAGGGGTCACAATTCCCTCAGGGTTTTGGTCTTATCCCTCACGCTCATGCTACCACTCACTGGCAGATATTGGTGACCCTGACGGCAGTTTTTTTTTATTCTTTATTATTATTATTATTATTTTCTACCACAGACGTGGCCACACATTTACAAACAGCACACACACACACATTATATATATATATATATATATATATATATATATATATATATATATATATATATATATATATATATTACACACACATTCATTTATGTCTCTCCTACTTTGACAGGGGTAAGATAACTGCTATAGAAACTAGTGTGTTATTAAGCGCTTAACCACTGAAGGTGATTAAGACGCTTTTACAAGCTCAGGTTACAGTTACATCACATGCATTGTATAACTGATGCATTACATAGCCCATCTTCGGGTACAAGTCCAATATATCATCAAGTGTTCCAGTACTCATATAGTAGTTACAGAGTTCAGCATACGTTATCCCAGGAGGGCGAAAGTCAGTCAATATGGGACATTCTACAATATAATGTTCAAGTGAGTGCATGTTTTCTCTTTCTCAAAGTTTACACATTGTGTATTCGACATTTGGGTTTTGAGAAAGCTGCCAGATACGTCTATATCCCAGGCGTATTCTGGCCACTATAACATCACATTGCCGGGTTCTTGTTCTATTAGTTCAATATATGAATGTCTCCTCACGATATTTATCATAATGTTCAATGCTACAACTTTCAGGTCTTTGTGAATTTGTTAGGTCAGTAAGATTTTCATTAGATATTTGTTTAAGTATTCTCTTTGTCATTGCTAATGAAAAACTCATATCAATTTCTACTATCTGGTTTTCTACAGGCTGTCTTTGCAAGCATATCAACAGTGTCATGCCTTGAGATGCCAACATGTGATGGTATCCATAGGAATTTAATGTCAAATCTGTTTTCTTTAGCAGCTAAAACATTCATCCGAATATCAGAGACTATTTTCTGGGTATTACTACTATGTGCGTTCAATGCCAGGAGTGCACTCTGCGAGTCACAGTATATAAGTCCACTGCCTTTGTCTTTTAAAAATTCAGTGGTAAGGTATATGCCTGCAAGTTTGGTTTGAGTCGTACTTGCCCAGTCATTGACGCGCTTCATTGCTGTATGTACGAGAGAAGATTGTTGAAATATATTATATGCACAAGCCTGATCAAGCCCCGAAATCATCTCAAGATAACCTCAAGATAACCACATCCGGTACATCTTCCATCTTCTTCTACAGAACCATCGGTATAGCACTGATATACATCGTTACTTATATAACCTGAGTACTCTCAGTGATGCTTTTCAATGTTGACTGTTTTAATAATGTAGAGTGTACACTGTCTTTCTTGCGTGCATTTACACAATCAACTGATAGATCCCAGTTATCTGGCGGTAGTGATTGGTGACCCTGGTGGAAGGAATCACAGTGAAGAGTGACCCTGGTGACCAGGCGGTGACACTCACCACTATCTGACCTCCTCATCAAACAGCCTAGTTGACCAGACCACCAACCACGAGGCTTGATTGGAGACTGGACCTTGGGGACGCATTGATCCATGGAACCACAGGGGTAACCTTGCTGTCCCTCCCTTCAGGGAGCCGGTCGGCCGAGCGGACAGCACGCTGGACCTGTGATCCTGTGGTCCTGGGTTCGATCCCAGGCGCCGGCGAGAAATAATGGGCAGAGTTTCTTTCACCCTATGCCCCTGTTACCTAGCAGTGAAATAGGTACCTGGGTGTTAGTCAGCTGTCACGGGCTGCTTCCTGGGGGTGGAGGCCTGGTCGAGGACCGGGCCGCGGGGACACTAAAAGCCCCGAAATCATCTCAAGATAACCTCAAGAACCCCCCCCCATCTCAAGATAACCTCACTACAACTTCCATCTACACAAGGACAACCCTGGAAACACAAACCGAAACTGTCTCTATTTTCCGCTCGTTACAACTTGTAATAAAGTTGTTACATCTTGGCTTAACGTGTTTATGACGTATTAGAACGTTGTTACAACTTGCTATATTGGTCGATATAACGGGTTAGGTGGTGTTAAAACTTGTTCGAACGTTGTACCAACAACGTAGTTTTGGTGTGTTTGGCGGGAAGAACCTCATCTTTGCACTGATAGAATGTAGAACAAGGGAGACACGAGTTGAAGCTGGGAACATAAACGCGTCGATGAACATTACCGGAAGGAAGTCCCCGTACCCCTGTACCGGTGATCAACACGTGAAATGCACATCAAGAAGAAGTTGTGGAAGCCACCTCCACCTGCATCCTTTGCGTAGTTAATGTATAAAGCAACAGGTACAACAGGACTAGTACGCGGGGCGTAAACATAAACTGGGGCCAAATTCACGAAAGCACTTACGAACGTGTACATCTTTCCTCAATCTTTGACGGCTTTGGTTACATTTATTAAACAGTTTACAAGCATGGAAACTTGCCAATCAACTATTATTATTGTTATAAACAGCCTTTTGGTGCTTCAGAGCTCATTAACTGTTTAATAATTGTAAACAAAGCCGCCAAAGATTAAGAAAAGATGTACAGGTTCGTAAGTCTTTGCGTAACTGCTTCATGAATCTGGCCCCTGGACCCCCCACTTGCCCGTAGTCACTTATAGGTAAGTTTTGGTCAATAAGTACTTCCTGGTCTCATAATCACTACCTCCTCTCATGGCTATGTCCCCTCACTGTCCGCTCACTGTCCCCTCACTGTCTCCTTCACTGTCCCCTCACTGTCTCCTTCACTGTCCCCCTCACTGTCCCTTCACTGTCTCCTTCACTGTCCCCTCCACTATCCCCTCACTGCCTCCTCCACCCCTCATGGCCATCTCTCATTACCAGTACTACACACACTCATTGTGAGAGACATACAACAAGGGATGACAAGACTGTAGCAAAGTAACGCACAAAATACATAAACAAGGGGGGATAACAAGAGGGTAATGTAGCGAGAGATCGAGTCTTAACTCGTAACAACACGTTATAATTGGGTAATTAAGGTGTAGTTAAGTGGAACAATCCGTCAAGTAGCGTTACAGAGGCGGATAC